GATTAAAGGGGTCATATGATGCTTTTTTAAAGATCATTATTTTGTGTATTTTGGTGTAACAGAATATGTTGACATGCTTTAATGTTCAAAAAACACATAGAACTACCTCCTCTCCTAGGTTCACGAAACAGTCGTCCATAAAATGCGCTGCTGTTCTGTTGTAAGTAATCGTAAAGATTCCTACATGCATCTACTTTCGGAAGGCCAAATAAAGTGCTTTTGCTTTCGCACTGAAACACACAGCGTCTCCCTGACATGGCTGCTTCAACACTAACTGTGGTTACTGAAACCACGCCTTCTTTCTCTGCGTGCACATTTGGGCAGCATTATGCTAATATTTCCACATAGTGAGGTAGATATGTGGGGGCGTGTTAGAATGAGCCGTTTTAGGGGGGGCGTGGCAGAGTCTTAACTTTGATAAAGAATATCTCTTTGATTTTGAGACTTTAGTATTTGCAACTTCAGGGATCTTATCTATTCACAATCAGCTTGTAACACTCCAAAGAGAAAGGAAAACTTGAAATCACATCATATAACCCCTTTAAATGAATTTAGTCTTACCTTATACTGCAGTTTAAAAAATCAGTCAGAATATCCTGTTTTATGTCACTTTACAGAAGTCAAATAGATTTCAAATGCCATTTCATGTTGACAGTAAAAGGCCCATATTTTATAGCAAGCCAATTGACAACAGCAACATACATCCTTGTTTGAATCCATAAAGCATTTGCTGCTATATACCAAGCTGGTTGTTCGTAGTACAGTGCGCACAACTGTAAATTGCTTCGAAAAATCTCATGATAAGGGCAGTCTGTCACCTCAGCAGTGTCTTGTATCAGATAGCCTGTATCTTTGGTATCTTTTCCGTATGGCTCAGGTTTACCCTGCTCCGACTGTGTGTGAAGTGTTTAATGACTTGCAAAAGCTCCCTTGCTGTTATTTACAGCTGAAGCTGTCCATATCAATCTGAGCTGGCAATTTCACCCATCACGTGAGACCGTTCGACTCTCGCTGTCTGTCACTGTAAATACTGCCCTCCATGAGAATGACAGTCCCATTTGCATTCCCAACCACACTCTCGCACACTGCTGTCACTTTAAAATTATTCTGAAAGAAGGGCAGCATTGGCCCATCTCTTGTGTTAGAGCGTTGTGCTATAATATTATGATGCTAAAAAAGTATCAAAAACATGTTATTACCATGGTATTACCCTTGGAACCATGTACATTTATCAAAGTAGCAGTGTTTAGTAAAAAAAAAAAAGAATTAAAAGAATACCATGGTATTGGGGGAATATGTATTATAATAATACCATGTCATTTTTTGAATGAAAGTACAAAGGTATTATCATCTGATACGTCACCATGGTACCGCCATGCTCAATAAACTCAGAGTTAAATATTGATGTTATTATTGTAGTTTTTCTGTGCTCAGTTATTATTTGCTGAAAATAAACCTGGATTTGAATCAGCTTCCTTTGCTGAGAGTCCCTGTGTGTCCATGACCATCTGTTTAGGTTTTTGCTTGGAGTAGAGGAAATTACAGCGGTAGGAAACACCAGCACAATAGGCTTTTTCCAAACATGAATCGTATTAATTAAATCAATTCAATGGGTGGATGTTGTTGACCTTTAAAGTTTACCTTGCATAAAAATGAGATGTCAGGCAAAGAATTGAGTCGGTTAGCTGAAGGATGAAAATCCTCTGCAGAGGCCTGTAATGAATTTTATTTCTTAGTGCAAGGACCCAAGACTTCCATTTAAACAAGGCAGGCAGGTCAGTAATGCACTTTCAATGAAAATTACGATTATGCAGTTTCAGCTAAGGCTATCAGAGTAATTCTGAGCTAATAACTCATTTGCTCAGTGGGGAGATATTAAAGACAACCTAATTCAAATGCTATTTGCAAGTCCAACATTTACGACCCTTTTCGTCTGGTGACTTCTCTCATGCAATATATATATATATATATATACAGTGGGGAAAAAAGTATTTAGTCAGCCACCAATTGTGCAAGTTCTCCCACTTAAAAAGATGAGAGAGGCCTGTAATTTTCATCATAGGTATACCTCAACTATAAGAGACAAAATGAGAAAAAAAAATCCAGAAAATCACATTGTAGGATTTTTAAAGAATTTATTTGCAAATTATGGTGGAAAATAAGTATTTGGTCAATAACAATTTCATCTCAATACTTTGTTATATACCCTTTGTTGGCAATGACAGAAGTTTTTAATGAAATGAAAACGGGCTAGGATGCTGGGCTGTTAATCACCTCAAGTGCTGAGGGCAGAGTCGGCCCAAGGCATAAACGAAATAAGCGGCTGCTTAGGGGCCCCGTGGCCACCAGAGGGCCCCCAAGAGTTCATGAAATGACAGCTTGATTTATTTAATTTTTTAATTTTAATTTTTATTATTATTAGGTTATTTGTGATATATTATGTCAATGGACAATGGTAATTATACATAAATGTTCTATATATATGCATCATTTTATTAATTCCATAGCAATGCATCATCCAGACACAATAGCACTGTATGACAGATCACGTGTATTTAGTTTTTCCTTTTTTGTTCAAAATATCCACAAACTTGTTAACTATATCATAAACTTGCTAAAAGATATAGCCTATTCTGATTGTCAAATATGTGTAAATTAATTTGTTTTAATTTGTCGTTTAAACAACCTTAATAATACCATGTTAGTTGATCTATAATGTACGCTGGACGCTGCTGTGTGGATCTGTCAGATTATCATAACTTAAATTCACCCATTTCTTCCGAAATACATTAAATTAAGTGGCCGGTGAACTGTGAGAAAAACAGTAAACTTTATAGTTACCTACTACACAGTGTTTGATAGGAATAAAACACGTTGTCAAATTTTAATTGAAAGAATTATTATTGCCACTTTCCATAGAAATCAGTGTGTTTTTAACAAATTATAAATGTCTTTTTTGCTAATACTTAATTGAAATGTCTGAAACCAAAAATAAACTTTATGTGGTTGAAAACTCTGAACAGTTGTGATATATGTAAAGCACTGAGTGCTTCTTTCTCTGGCACAGCACCAGCCAAAGTGCGGCGAGTCAAAGGGTTAAAATCGATTGCGTTTTGGGGTTGGAGGAAGGACAAAAAAAAGATCTCAGAAAAAAGATGAGGGGGCAATCGTGCCTGGCTGGCTAGTTAATTAGCATAGCCTATGTATCTTAGTAGGGAAGTTAATGTTTGATTAAACATCCGTAAATAGCCTTGACATCTTAATATGTTATAATATAACATTTTACTTAGCTAGTTTTAGGTTAAAGTTTTTTGTCTTCTGTGTAAAATAACATTCTTGGGTAGATACTGTATATAAACTTGGTACTGATAACACATTAAGTATGCCACTTACTACTGTAAGACTTTGACTGTTAAAGTGCAAATGAACACCTGACCACTCTTGTGGGTTTGCTACTGTTACAATTAAAAATAGTAGAAGGGTAAAACATGCCAGACAGACATTGGTATGTTGTAAGCAACACAGATACAACAAATAAAATTGATAATGGGTGTGTTAGATTCATAGATTCAATCAGTCGTATTGGTGGCACCAAGGGGCCCCCCAAAAAAATTCTGCTTAGCCCCATAAAGGATTGGTCTGGCCTTGGCCGGGAGCCAGGGAAGTTAAGCCGCTGTGAAGAAGCCGCCGCCCCTGAAGCCCCGGACCAGGAGCACATGTGGCCGCCGGACTCCGCCCCTTATCTGGACCCCACCTTTCTGAACACTGCCCTTCCTTCACAATTCCCCAGCATAACGTGGACACCAGATCCCCCATTTATTTTGGACACCCCTTCCCCTTTGGACACTTCCCCATTTTTGGACATTTTATGTTTATTTTCTGTTAAATAAAAGCCTCTCAGAGGCCCGACACCACACCCACTGTGTCTGTCGTTTGCTCCTCCCGCCACAATATGCAGTGCATATTACAGATAACCAGCACTATAGAAGTACTATAATTGTATATAAAACTGTAAGTACTATATATACTATACAGTATATGATCAATCAAATTGTGTCCATTTTCTGTGTAATCGTAGCCACCTGACTAGTGGATGCCTTGTGTAAAAAGTTGTAGGTTCTTTTAGATAGGAACATTTAAAAGAAAAGAAAAAAGAAGATGAAGAGTTGGGGTGAATCAATAAATTATGAAGAATGTACTCTCATTGTCTGAATAATATGTAATCATGTAATCTGTAATAAAGTAACTAATCTGATAATGAGCATTTTAAAATATAATATAATATAATAAACATTTTTGGAATCTGGTTACGTAATCCAGATTACATGTAATCAGTTACTAATATCATAACTCAATATCAAAAGTCACAGTGAGTATCTTGTGTGGCCACCAGTTGCTTTAAGTACTACAGAGTCTCTCAACCTCATGAACTGAAACAGATTTGCCCATTCTGCTGTGAGATATTCCCCCAAAAATGATGCACCTGTTAAAGCAGTTTACCCTAGCAAAGCAAAAACAAAAGAAAATATGTTTTTCCAAATGAAGAGTCAAGTCATTTATGTGGAATACATTATTTTCAACCCTGACAGCCGGAAAGGGCACTCCAGAAATAAAAACATTCAAGTGATGTTGATTGAAGACCAGTTCAAACAAGACTTTGGCTTTCTCATTCATACATGCCCGCTTTTATTTCTACTGTTTTAAATGCCTGTTTAAAAGTAAAGGAGCATGGTGGAAAGTTTCTCCTTAAATATGCTGTTTTGATTGAAGCATGAGGAAGAGAGAGTGGAGAGAGAGCTGCATAATCTTTGCTTTATTCCTGTGGGCCACAAGGGAAATAATTTACAGTTAGTTGTGCAACATCCCTGCAGCAATTCTTTCCAAAATAATGAATTGATTTTTCTTGGAGTGCAATTGTGAAGCCAATGTTCTTTTTAACTGGCTTCAGCTTTCGAGATATAATTGAAAGCATAGATTTATTTTCATGTGTCATCTAACAGAAAAACTTTGGTAAAATTGGTAAGCTCAGGACAGAGTATTTTAAAAGTTAATCCATTATCGTGGAGTACTATAACTGTCATAGCCCGAGAGGTTTTATACAAAGTAAATGAGAACCTCAGTCCCATTTAAGTTTGTCACAAACGACTATTTTGAAAATGTACATCCTTTGTTTGTTTGTTTGTTTTCAAGCTTCATTCATTTTACAGAATGTATTCTTCTTTTACTTTCCGACTGACCATTTTCTGATTAAGATCCCTGTTCTGGATAAGCATTTATTCCAGAAAAGATATTTAAAATCTTTACAGCTGTTGAAATATTCCTGTATCATAATATTACTTTCCTCTTGTGAAAATACTGGAAATGCTCTTGCCATTTATTTTAATTAATTTTCAGTAATTCAGGTCATTAATTCTCATGAATATGCTTGACAACAGCACACAAAAGGGCAATGAATTCAAAAAGATGTAGATCATAACACTGTTATGATGCTTTCACCTGTCTGTATACTGATTTATGTTCACTTCTTTTAATATTTTTATAAAACGAATATGTCTCATTGCACAAAAATGTTTTATGACACATAATTCTGTACAAATTAATACAAACATATGTCAGAAAACTGGAATATTAGCTTAATCAGGTTACTGCAATAAGATTGTACCTTGTAATCAGAATATAACCAAACTTCTATTTCAGTTTAAAGCAAATGATCTGCTAAGGCTAATAATATAAAAAATAAATAAAATAACCAACAACTAACTTCCTTATTGATTTATTGATTTATTTTTTACACTTTACAGGACCCTGAAAAAAACATGAAATGCATCTCAATGTAGAATTTTACTTATAAGATTTAAGTTGTTTTTTTTACTCAAACTGACTAAGCACAGCATTTGAGTTCAAATCAGCTTGCACTGGTTTTGTGGATCAACCCAGTTTGTACTCTTCCTAGCATGCACTGGGGCATGAATAATGATTATGGTTGCATTGTTTGACTATTTGCCAGTTTTATCTGCATTGTTGTTGATGATGGTGTCACAAGTAGTAACTTGAGTTGTTTTGTGATTCATATAATAATCATTCTCAAATGATCATTGTTGTTTGTAACCATTGTTGATTCATGTACCAAGCTATGGCGTCTCTTTGTGCCAATTTAAGGTAGTTTGTGGGTATATTTTGTTTTTATGTGATGAATGGTCATCATTCAAACCTTTTCAAACTATTTTGTTCACAGTGGGCGACTGCATTTCTAACATTTATTCTACACTATTGTATTATTTTACAAATATCATGCAGTGTAATTATCAAAAAGACACATATTTTGATGAAGTTGCCTTGGAAAATGAAGGGACACGTTCCTGGGACGTGAATGCTTTCAATTTCAGTTGTCTCAATGAGTTCTCATACCAGTCAACCAGAATTTACATTGCTCTGACATTTCTTTTGAGAGAGGGAAGCTCATGGCTTTTGACATTAATGTAGATAATGTTTTTACACTTTATTACCGGTCTCACGCTGACTCCAGGGCTTTCCTGAACATACAGATCTTTGGAACAGTGAACTTCTACTAACCACCTGACTCATGCGCTCTCTCTCATTTCCCCCTCTCTCTTTCTTCCATATCCAGGACACTGAGATTATCAACACGGCAGTTCTTACTGGCCGAACTGTGGCCATCCCTGTCAAGGTGGTTTCCATAGAACTGAACGGAGCAGTCACTGATGTGTCATCCTTTGTGCAGTGCAAGTCATTCAATGAGGACATTGTCAAGGTACGTGACGGCCACGTTGAGAGGTTTAGTGATCTAGGACTTCCTCTACTATTCTCATAATCAATCGCGGTCAACTTAAGAAACCATAAAATGACCATCAAAACCTAATTTAAGCGGAGTTTATATATGCTCCTGTGGCCACTGCTTTCGTGATCCCCTCGAGGGATCGATGCCTTTTCAGTTTCAGAAGTCGTTAGAAGTGTTCAGAGGTCTGCAGAACAGCATTTCCCACTGAACAGCAGCAGAGTCTACACACTTGACTTGTGTTTAATGCCTCTTAAATGAAGAGTCTCTTAGAAAGCAGTGCACCAAAGCTCTTTTTATTAACTGAAATAACACATCTTGAGGATTAGTTGCAAGTAGAGCTGGACAATTCGATTTAAAGAGATGGAAAATGGAAATGGTGTAATTTACTCACCTCAAAGTCATTGGAAACTTACATGCAAGTTGCTACCCAGGCTCACTGGAAATACGTGCCTCTATCTATATGTCTGCAAAACTCAAAAAACTAAACTATACATACGAATTGATGAAGTTTCCAGTTGAAATGAACACTAGAGGGAGTAAAACTGACAACTTGTATTCCTTTCCACACAAAGTATGATTTACAGGTCCAGAATTTTAACTAAGAACGCCTAATTGAAAATTTTCAAAACAATTCAAAACAATTTTACATGCTGCAGTATAGGGCTATGCGATATCTCATAAAATAATGCGTTATTCGATATGCGATACGATAATGCTTAAAGTGCCACATGCTCAGATGAAACAGTTTTACTCAGCTGTTACTGAGTCAGTTCTGTGAACTTCTATAACTATCTTGTGTCATATATATATGGTTATTTGTATGTATGTATGTATCAAGAGCTCCTGTAAAACCACAACAAATTCCTTGTGTTTGCGCACACTTAAGTGGTGAATAAAGCTAATTCTGATTCTGTTTTCTAATATAACTAGCATACATGTTTCACTTTTTGTGAGAAGAAAGCACCCCTACAACAACTTCTGAAAGTGAACGGTAGTGTTTTACTCTAGTATTACATAAACATGTCATTTTAACATTAGTGTAATAATTTTAACATGAGTTTAGGAACTGAATAATAAAAAGGAAAAATAAAACACTGCTTAG